GAGTAAAAGGAGATAAAAATACACATTTGTCAATGACTTCGTCATAATTTATCATAGAGAAATGATAGTTCTCAACCTGCATCTAAAATTTATGCCAGTATTTAATTCATGTATTCCAAGTATGTTTTGTACTTCATTTAATCAAAGTGTTTTCCTGTATCCTAGTAAGACACTTACTGTGCAGAACTCTCAAGTATATTAACAACGATGTCATCATTGATTTAAATAAAAAAATTAGTTTTTAATCTAATTGTTCACATAATCACATTTTGAGTGCACTAATTCTGTCCCTACTTCTTTGAGTCTTTGTTTACTCTTTTTCAGTATTATCACAGTATTAGCTTTTTTCTAACCCACTGGAGCATTCACGTGGCCAAAGGCTCACAGCATTAAAACTGCAGAGAGCACTTCAGCCTTCTCTTAAAAAGTATCAAATGAAAATTATCCTAATATGTTGATTTATTAAGTGTTTGCTTCGGTAGCTGTTTTTACATTTTCCTGACTTATTGTCAGTGGGAAGCTTTTCATTGTCGTCTAGTAGTAGGACAATTATTTGGCTTTTACCTAAATACAGGAACAGAAACACTTACTGAACAGTTCTGTCTTCCTGAATTACTGCTGACAATTCTGTTGTTTGACCCCAGTAGCAGTCTGATATTCTATGTAGAAGTACTTAGCCCTGCTGGTCAGAGGCTGTGTCCTCTTGCTTTCCTTACATACTTCTGGAATTCGTGGCTTCTTCAGCGTTAAGCATCATCGACTCTACTTCCCCCAATTTAGTTAGACCCTCTTAGATTTTCAGCTGTGAGAAAAACAGCAAAAGTAAGTGCATTCTGCAGGAGACATTACTATCTATAAAAATCCAGAATCTTGAGTCTGCAGACAGCACATCTCAAGGGAGTACAGTTACTGTAGAGCAAGTAACTATTCCTTGGTGCCTAGTGTGTTGTGGTAGTACTGGCTGAAATACTTTCAGGATTTAAATACTTAAATATTTGCTTTAGAATAATGTATAGGATCACTTGGAGATACGCTATGTGGCATTTCTTGCAAGGAAACAAATCAGAAACTTAAAATCTGATTTAGAGCTATTGAATCTACATGACAGTCTTTCTTCTGAGTTGAGGTTCACCAGTATTTCAAGATGATGCTTTGCAGTGTACCTTATGTAGCCTTGTAATTTATTCTGTAATAAAAATGTCTAAATTCACACTTAAGATTTGAGGGCAAATCAGAGTAAAAATCATTAGTTCTGTTAAGTTCCCTGTCTGAAAGACTTGAACAGCTGGTCAACTAGTAGAGAGAGTTTAATGTAGATAGTTAAGTTTAGATGGGAAAGAACAAGAACACTGTCTTAAGAAATTTAAATGTCTTTATTAAAAGCTTCCTCACATTTAGAGATTAAGGCAAGATGAGTCAAGATTCCAAGGGAATGTGGGTTGAACTGTAGAGAAAACAGATAACAGGAGAAGATGGAAAGGAAGTGGAAATTAACATTTCTTTTCTTGGGAAAGGTAGGAAGGGAAGCCTCTATTTGGAAAAATAAACAATTAGAAACAATTGAAATGTCAGTCATATTGTGATTCTGTGAGGAAATAGGTGGGAAGGTATGTGCAGTGCTGCTGCAAATCTGTTTTCAGTTCAGAGACCATATTTCTGCTTCTCTGATGAGGACCTTGTAAAGCTTGACTGAGTAAAAGGGCAGGGTGGCTTTCAGCATCTAGGAAAAGCAGCTAAATTAGAAGCTCAGTTTGTAGACTGTTATAATGTAATACTGAGTGTGCCTTTGTGACATTCTGCATATATTAAAAAAATCTGCATCCTCTTCCTTTCTCAATTTACCCTTGTTTCTGTGGCTCTTGGGCAAACTAATAACTTTTTCCATAGATGAAGAAATAACATGTTCCTAAGTCCTGGTTGAATCCAAGACATAATGTGAAGCTTAATAGATGCATTCATCAGATACCTGGAGAAGTAGGTAAATGACTTGGGTATATCTGTGGACAGCAGTATTTGTTCTCCACACTAGATTGTAGCTGACATACTCAAGAATAGTTTAAACTATTTCCATCTGCATTGTTTCATCCTGTGAATTTAGTTACTATATCTATGCGAATTGTTGTCTTCTTTAGTATTCTCAACCGTTAGGAACGTCTTGTCTGTTCTTTTTTTTTTTGTCCTGGTAAGTTTCCCAATTATGCATCTATCAATATAAAACTATTAAAAGTCTCTGTGCTGCTGCAGTAATGGTGTTGATTGGGAGAAACTGGGAATAGAGAGATACTAATGAAAAAGTGGAAGGAACTCATGACAGAAGTTTATAAAGTGGAACAGACATTGCCTAGAAGGTATCATGGATACTGGCATGCAGTAATAGACTTTTTGGACATGCTTCTACTCTTACGTGTATCTCTATTATTAGAGTGTGCCTTTGGGAGGTCAGTGTAATAGGAGAAATCATATGGAATGTTTGACTTCAGTAGTGGAGTTAGCTCTTGGGATCACAGATCCATTCCCTATTTTGTTCCATTCATCTTTGCATCTCTCTCTTGAAGTGTATGTATGCAGTCTTAACTGGATTCAGCTACTGACTTTGCAGGCACACTATATGTGACTATTTAATGTTAGTGATATAATACTGAAATTACCTTCTTAAAACTGTGTGTTATTTTATTAACAGTGTTTTAATTCTTACTTTAAATAAAACCAGAATTTAGGCAGTGTACATTTTGTGCTACATTTGATTGGTAAAAGAATTTTGAGTATAGTGTGTAGCACATAGTCCTAAAGAACTGGTTGGAGACTTGCATTGGCCTGTGCTGGCAGCCTTACTGCCTTGCTGTATTTAAATTGCTACTCTATGCCCTTTTGTGCAAGAGTGAATCAGGCTTTTGCTTTTTTCTAAAGTTGCTCTAAGTGAAAGTATTAGTATACTTAGTAGTTATTTGAAAGATAATTCTATAAACTTTGTTTTGTAGTGGTTTAATGTTTACTTATATAAATTAATTTTATATGTAGCATACAGATAATAAAGTTATTTTATATCTGACTCTCAAAAAATCACTTAATTTGATAGGTAAAATAGTTTGGTGGCTCAGCAGAAAACCAGAAGTCACCACAGGTTTTCTAGCTCTTCACATGAAAGATATTTATTATGGTGCTATCTGAAATTGTGAACTTGTGATGGTAACAGTAAAGCCCAGTGTGCAGGTGACTTTAGGCAAGCTTATCACGGTAGTACTATGTGTGTAAAAAGTCAGCAGATGTTGTGAGTATGCTTGCTCCTGGATTCCCACAGCTCAGAGCCTGTCATATGCATGCAAACTTAATTTCTAACACTGACTTTTGCAGCCAAACCAACTAAACATTCTACACTTAGCTGGTTTTGACCTGGAATTCTCTTCCCAATGCAGTGATTTCCTAGAGAATTACTTTAACTGTAGTTACATCAGTGATGTAGAGTACAGGACAGCCCTGCATATGGTTTACACATAGGCATGCAAAAGAAAAGCAGACTGTGACATTGGGGGTTACCAGGCTGAGACTTTATTAGCATCAAGCAAACTTTTGTGTAGCAGTATCCTTTGTCTCTAAACAGATGAATGCTGGAGATGATTTCGAAGGTAGACCAGGTAACTATTACTCTTTACATATTTTGTCATTGGTTTCTTTCCTGATCTCTACTGGGACAGGATGCTCTTTATCATATGACCCAGCACAGTTTTTCTTATGTTTTATCAGGCAATCCGTGCAGCTTTGTTTTCATTACAAAGATATGATGGCTGATGCACCAACTCCCAGAAAGAATTTAGAGTGGCCACAATGCTCAGTTAAGGTTTCAATGTTTAAGGATAAAAGTCTACATGATAGTTGAGTTTGTTTTGCTGAAAAAGCAGTCTCTTGAATGTGTCTAGAAAGATGACAGATATTAGTTTGAAGCTTCAACAAAACAAACAAACAAATAAGTAAATAAACCTCCCTAAATTATGTTAGTTTGTGCTAGTGGTTAATCATTTTCACAGAAAAAAAATGCAAAGTAAACTGCTGAACCAAAGAAGGGTTCAGCTTTCTAAAAAGAAATGGAATCCAGACTTTAGGTCCATTGGGAATACAGAACAGCGTTTGAGGGGAAGATGTTCCTTTTAAAATGTAAATTTGTTAAGACAGTTGTTGTTATGACACTGTAATTAATTCTTGAATTAGACTGAATGAATGCTCTCTGGGGAGAGGGTACACATACTTGCAAATGTCCATCCTATAAGGAATAATTAGGAGGCCCTTTTGCATCCAAGAAACTGCTAAGACCTATTTTGATTACTGGTACATCAAAACATTGAAGTGGCTCATGTGTTGCTTATCTCTTTCTAATGCTGCGTAACATTCTTCCTAAATGTTTTCTTTTCTGTGTATTGTGCAGAAGACATAAATTTCAAACGGGAAATGGAACAAAAACATCAATTTATTTATTTGTTTTCCTTAGGCATCTCAGTCTTTCTCAGGTGAAAACTTTTTATTTGATTGATTTCTCACATTACTTTATATATGTCTGTGCATACTAAAAACTTCTGAAGACCATTGAGGAAGGCTGTTGCTACTACATGTGACACTAATTCAGAAATGCCGTGGAAAATGGCTACTCAGGATCATTTGAAACATATGTTTATATTTTTTTCAACCTCTGTCCAACTTCTTGTTCCTCAGTTTTTCCCAAATTTCAAGCAAGCAATATTCTCCTGGTGACAGCATTCCTCACTAAGAACCGTTCAAACTTAAACTATAATACTTTGTTACAGCTTATCTTCAACTTTGAAATGTATAGTAAGATAAACTTTTTAAATACAGGTTACAAGGGCACAGAAGCAATGTCAGAATGCACTTAAGGATGTTGACTTTTGACTGACATAGTGCTCTCAAGAATAAGAAAATTTGATCCTTGTGGTTTCCTTTCTGTCTGTTTAATGGGCTACTTATGTATGATCTGTGTTTGTTCTTTTTCTCAGATATTAGAATTAAAGAAGAGGATCCTGATCCAGAAGAGTGGCAGCTCAGTGGTGATTCTACACTGAATGCTAATGATCTAACACATTTGAGAGTACAGGTTGTAGATGAGGAAGGGGACCAACCACATCAGGAGGGAAAAAGACTGCGACGAGTAGCATGTACATGTCCCAACTGCAAAGAAGGTGGTGGAAGGTATGTAAAGTTCAGTATCATATCCCACATATAATGATGAAAAATGAATAATGGACAAGAAAAAAAAGAGCTTTTGTTAACAGCAGTTGTCTGCAGTGAGAGGAAACTAGAGGCTTATGCACAGGAGTTTATACAGTAAAGGACTACCACTTTCATTTTGCAGTTTGCAGATGAAAAAGCAGATTATTCCATCCTTTCTGAGTTAGTCCTTTGAGATTAGCTGAAAAAATGCGGGGTTGGATGTCACTTAGTAGAAATGAGGGAGATAGAACATTGCCCTAAAAATATGAAAATGAAATATTTTGGAATATGCACATCTGTGATTGGCTTCCGATCATATGTCAAGAACTTGATTAAATCCTGTGTTCCTGCATTTCCTCAGTGATTGAGCATTTTTTTTCCACAGTTTAATTGCTTTAGAGTTTTCCTAGTTTTCTTTTTCACTGGTTTCCTAGGAAAAACAAGGTTTGTATAATCTAACGAGGTTTGTATAATAATTCTAAATAACAAATTTTGAACTGTTTTCAGTAAAAGTTAGTGAGATTTCACTAACAAAGAGCTACTAGGTTCCAATTCATTAAACTTCGGTGTTGCATAGGTTCCAGTCTCATTAAAATATTAGTACGTTTTTATTCTGAAAATTTTATTCTATTTCAAACAATTTTAAATGTCTTGATTACAGGTATGAAAGGGGAAGGGTAATAAGCTGCCTTTTACAAGTGAAAATACGTAGTTGTGTTTTTGCTTGAGAGAATTGTGCAGGGGCTTCTTTCCAATACACTAAAATTTGTCCATTTTGTTAATAGTTTCTTCACTGAGATGGAAATCTTTCTTTATTTGGGAACTATAGTGTAAATCAGTAAAATATCTTTAAGGAATCTGTCAGTGTCCAGTGGCACTAAGAGTTCTAGCAGCACTAGCTGAGTTATGTCTCTTGTCAGTTCTTACTGCATATTCTAGATACGTGCCTTGCAAGCAGAGGGAGGTAATATCTCAGACAGCCATGCCAAGTGTGTTAAGCACGTTTAAGAGAAAAAGACTCTGATACATTTACATCACCAGCAAAGCTAGTGATAATGTCTGCAGGTTATGCAGCATCTTCAGCCATCAAATTCCTCTTGTTAAATTTCTATGTGTAGTTCACTGCAACATGGCACAGACATTTCTAAGTTCCTGGTGAACTCTGGCTCTGCTATGAAAATCTGCCCAAAGTATACCCTGGGTTGAGATTTGTTTCATTTCAGAAGAAAACTCTGAAAATGTGATTTGCACTGCCTATATTCTTAGGAAACAGAGATTCCAGGTGTTTGATCTTCCTCATGCTCTATTCCAAACTACGGTGGCTTTAATTTAGAAATCTGTACTGTAAAATCCTCTTCCTTCTCAGTGGAGTTGCTATAAAATGAAATTTTCAAGTTTCAGCCCGAGAGAGAATCTTTTTGAGAGATGGTTTGGGAAGTCTGGAGAAGGGTGTAGTCTGGCTGGAAACTCAGATATGCAATTTTTGGGAAAGAGTTGAGATAAGAGCTATGACAGAGTTTAGATAGATGAGTGAAATCCACTGTAAAGGAAGGCCTGGACACATCAAACATACAAAGTAACTAGGAAAAGTAGGACAAGAAGTCAGGATGTGAGAAGAATTGGAACTGGAAGAGAAACAGGATAATGAAGGACACAATGGTGGGGAAACAGAAAAGAGTGAAAGTGCTTACAGTTGCTAGAGCAACTTTCCCACTAGAATGTAGAATTTCTTGAGAGTTTAGGAGAAAGGAATAAGCCGACTTTAAAGAATATCTGAGTGTGATAATGTTCCAAAGCTGCTAGAATTACCAGTTTATCCCTAGTACTGGAATTCTGAGTTTTGATTTGTTTTTCAACTCTGCTGATGATTTGCAGAATTTCAGATAGAAAGACATTTGCTTTGGTAAATTCTTTCAGATAGCATTCATAATTCTTAAAATGCCGCCAAAGCTACAACATTTACAATTGGGCTAATGCTTAGTTAAGATATCCTGGGCAACTTTGACTTAATTCCTTGTGTATATACATTTATCACTTGGTTTCTAATTACTTTTACTGCATACTATTTTCTTCGTATGGCATCAGTGCCATTCAGTGGGTGGGATGGCTGATACACAGGAAGTGAATCAGGGCTGTGTAATGATTATCACCTACTTCACTTATTGCAGAAATTGGGAGGTGTTTAGGGAATGAGGCACAGGACTGCAGCAACAGGGCTCTGAAATTTTGGAGGTGTAGATATGTATACCTCACCTTTTCCACTGCAGAAATACTGAGTTCATTCCTGTGAAGAAGTTGATTGAGCAGACTGTGAACATATACAGTACTCTGAGAAAATATGCTTCTACTGCATTAACCTTGACACCTCAAGCTGGTGGGTGTTTGACAGTTTTGGCCTTAATCTCTTTGTACCTCATAGCAGGATGTGCAAAGTGATTGTGCTAGTTCAGGTTCACCATACCAAAACGTTAAGATGATAAAGCCATTAATATTTGTGAAATGCTTAGAGACTGAGAGTGAGTGTTGTCAGTACCCATGAAGAGACAAAAAAACCCTGGAGAAATGAATAAATTCTGTATAATAATTTAATATAGTGCAGAAATAATATATAACTAGTAAAACAAGAAAAGGACTTTAAATCCGTATGAAAAATCTAGTGTTTCACTCAGTTAATACTATTGCTTCTATGCTCTGAATGGAGAAGGAAAAGGAAAATGGCTTCACATATGCAGACTTCATCATAATTGAATGTATTGTATAGTGTTGGTTTTGGTATTTCTTTCATTTTCTGGATTCGTAGGCGAGTTGAGAAGTTCTTTCTGGTTTTTCTCGTTGGCTTTTGGAATTGAGCTACGTTGCAATCTTCAGATTTGTACCAGTTTTGTGAAGTGAGAAGCCACTATTATCTTTGCCTTGGTGGGAGGGAAAGTAGGAAAGGAAGAAGATGATGTTTAGATTTGTAAATTTACACCTTTTAGCCCCAAGCTTATATAATAAATGGCAAATAAGCAAGTGGACAGAGAAACACATGCCTCAAAGGATGACTGTTGTTTCCAAACAGAATGTATTAGGCTTCTAGTTAAGGTGTCTGAAGTTAAGTAAAAAGTTTAGTCTCCTCTCAGTTGGATCTAGAGATTTCACCCTCCTAACAATTGCATCTGGAATTAAATTGAGATATAACTACTACTGTCTGATACATAGAGGAGCTGTGCTTCTGAGTACCACTGCAAGTATGTAACTCTAAAACCCAGATTCTTAAAATAATAAGTGTGTGTTTAACTCTTGAAATACTTAATGTTATTGCTGGAAATACTGCTGAATATAAAGTCCAGTTTCTCAGTGGATGGAGGTGTTTGCTGCTGAAACTGTGGCAGTCTGCCTAGTTACTGAGAAACATCATTTCCAATCTCTGTAAAGCTAAAATGTACTATGGAAATACTTTAATGTTAATTGTTTTTAAGACTCCACTCAAGAAGTAGGCTGGAGTAATATACATCTATTCAGTGATGATGGCTATTGGCCACTGCAGCAAGAAAGGCCTCTTAGCATGATGTGTTAGGGCATAGTGCCAGACTGTCACAGCTGCAAAGTGTCCAAATAGAATCTGGCTTGTATCCTGTCAATGTAGAACACACATGAAGCAAACATACAGATGCTCATGTGAAGGTGTATAGAATAAATACACTTAGTTGCTAATTCACATCAGTCTTGTGGGTTTCATTCTATGCATCCTTAACTTCCCCCTCACTTGAAACTTTGGGGTGTGCTAAGGAATTCTGTTACCAGTTAGGTGAGGTGCTTAGAATCGTGCTCTATACCACCTATGCACAGTAATGACCGTGAGTTGAACCTTGGTTTCCTTCAGTCTAGACTAAAGGTGCAATGAAGCAATTTTAAATGATTGACTTAGGAATATTAACATTATTCTGAGGGAATTTTGATGTGATTTCATCCAATTTGTGTACTATATCATGCCATTTGTACTAATTACTGTGGAAGGGAAGACACTAGAGCTTATTTGGAGGAGATGTTAGGATGAAGTCCTCACATGATTATCCTGCTGCAACAGGATCAAAAGTCTTCTGGACACTGCTTCTGCTGCCACTGAATTTGTTCTGAAATCAAAACTTGTGTTTGTCATGACAAATAAGTAGTAGGTACAAGTGATGTTTTTATTTTCTGACAAATGAAGCGCTATGAAGGTTGCTCTGTATTGAGAATTTGTAGAAACAGTTTCTAGGACTTAATGGGATTTTATCACCTTACTTTTCTGGACTGTCTGTAATGTTTTAGGCACATATGTGATTAGGCTGGAATCTCCTTTAGACACTGTGAGGTTTTAGAGTGAGTTCATTTCTGTGCATGTTCAGAAATGCTTCTGGCAATTGCTAGCTCCTTGAAGACTGAACATTTCAGCCTGAACCTTCATTAGATGTAAACTAGAAGCTAAAGCACCCAATTTAAAGAATAAATTGCCCTGAGGAGGCAGCTGAATATTGTATAAGTCATGGAGGATGGTGCCCCCAAGACTGTGATTTCAGAATCCGCTGAAGGTGTTCTAAGTTAATGTTGCTGATGCCTGACTGCATTTTCCAATCTCCTCCCTTGTACCAGCATTTACCATTCATTTAGCTGTGTTGTCAGCCAGACCTGTTCCTTCAAGTGCTCCTTTCAGCAGCAGCAAACACTTAAATTGGCTAAAATCAATCATGATGCCCTGCACTGGCCAGACTGATCTCTTTGTCTGGGTCTTATCTCTCTCTTGTGATTTGATTTAAAAAAAACCCTAAAAATTAGGCTGTTGCATCAGGTGCTTCACTTGATCACCTGCCATTTCAGTGAGACAGCATCTTAAAATAAGTACCAAGCTTAGTCTGGATTATACAATCTGTGAATTCTGTGTTCATTATGATGGATTTCTTTTTTTTAACTGAAAACCCAAGGAATTAATGTAAATGTCAGTAAGATCAGCTTCCACCTCTTTTAGTGAAGGCATTCGGGTTAGTATGCTTGTCTTCAAACCCCAAACTGATTCTCAGATTTCTCCAAGATGCCAAATGTCCCATCTGTTCTGTACCCAGTTTCCAAAATCTCCAGTGTCCGTTTTGGCAGTTGCAGTAATTTGTTTTTCTTTGCCAAAACTATCTTTGTTATGGTAAAAACCTGAAACTTGGAGAAATGTAAAATATGGACCCTTCAGCATCAAAGTGGTACAAACTGCTATAATAACTGTATTTCCAACTTCATACACATGTATGTTTCTTAATGATTATGCTTCTATCACATAAATTTCACACACAGCTGAACTTAATGTTTTCTGTGGAGCTGGGAAAGCATTATAGAATTTATTTCCAGCTTCTTATGGAATGTACTGGAATCCACTTGTATTTGAAACAAAAACCTGAAGTTGTTTGGATTGGTTTGCAGCTCCATTGTGGTATGTGTAGCCCCATGTATGTATATGACCAGTATTTAGGAGGAATGTATTAGAATTAATAATTTTTCTCTCTCTTTTTTGTTTTTCTAAACAGAGGTTCCAACTTGGGAAAAAAGAAGCAACACATTTGTCACATACCAGGATGTGGCAAAGTATATGGGAAAACTTCACATTTGAGAGCTCATCTCCGCTGGCACTCTGGAGAGCGTCCGTTCGTTTGTAACTGGATGTTCTGCGGCAAAAGGTTCACTCGCAGCGATGAGCTCCAGCGACACCGAAGAACGCACACAGGTTTCCAGTCTTTGATTCTGGTGTATTTAACTTAAGGAGTGCTATGGACTGAGCTTGGATAAATGACTTCTAAGAGGAGAACAGATCTTTGAATTGGATTGATTTTAATGCAGTGTGATTTTTCGAAAATCAGCTAAGTCTTGTTGATACTTACACATTTTGGAATCTTTGGTAGGTCTGAGGAGATAAAACAGCCACCTCCTTGATTCAGAAGTGACATTTAAGCTAATGTTTAATGTAGCTTAATCAGAATACTTTGATTCAGGCTCAGCAATGCATTTCATTTGTTTAAACCAGATTATAACTCTTTTTCTATCTTATGACTTCAATAAGAAAAGAAGAGGACTAGGTGGCCTGGGGATTAGATATCATTCCTGCAATCAAAGAAGAGCATGTGATGGTGCATCATTCTACATCTTTCAGTTTCATGGTTAGACCACCAACTAGGAGCTTCAGGTTCACATTTTTCCTTCTATCTAGTACAAACAAAATAAATTAATGTAGATACTCCACCTTATCAAGGAACAGTTAGTTTAAAATCTGTTGTCTGCTTTTTCTGTTTTCTTACAAACTAAATCCATATATGCATTCAACAGGATGTTTACCTTTTAAAATCCTAGTATTTTTAAAATCCTAGTAAAGAATTTTTCTGCTTATCAGCATTTACATTGCTTAGAAAAATGCCTTTGGATGTTTGTAAAAAATATTCCACGTTGCTCTTAATGGTGTACTTTTGTGTAGAGATTTTGGATGCTAAATCCAAGCTGGGATGTTACAGTTTGGATGGACAGGCTGATGGTTTTTAAAAAAAGCAAGTTGAATGATCCAGTTCAGAGTGGTGTGGTTAATAGCTCCTAGTGTAACTGCCTACCAGTAAAAAGTAGAGAACTGCAGGGATCTTTCCTTTGACCTCTTTTAAAATCTTTATCATTGACCTGGAAGAGTCAGAGTTCTTCTGTTAACCTTCTTAGATTTGTGGATAACCCCAAACTGGGGTGACCAGTCAATGCACTTGTTGGCAAGGCTGCTATTCAGAGGGATGGAGGAATCCTAGGACATTCAGCAAGAACAGTCACAAATACTGCACCTGGGATGGAATTAACACTTAGGGTAATACAGGCAAAGCATGGAGAGGTTGGAAAGAGCTCTACTGAAAAGTATCTGGGAGTCTTGATAGACAAGTGGAACATAATCAAGGGCCAGCAGCAACGATGCCCAGAGCTGTACCAATAGAAGCAAAGACCCTGGTCACAGGGATTATTCCCCTCTTCTGGTTAGACTGCATCTAGAATATGGCATCTAGTTTTTGGCACCCAATATAAGAAAGACTTTGAGGACAGAACTGAGTTCACTAATAAGTGGCCAAGATGATCAGGAAGCTGGAACATTTGCCTTACAAGGAAAGGCTGTAGGATTCAGATGCACAAAGAGAACAGTAATGGAAGGGGGGAGCTTAGTAGTAATTCTCTAGTTACCTGCAAAGGCTACCCTTAAGAAGGCAGTTACTTTCCCTGATGGTGTAGTGGTTGAAGGATAATAGACAGCAGATGTATGTTGAAATAAGAAGGGTTCAGAACAGCTATTAATAAAAACTTTTGAACTGCAGGAATAGCCAGGCATTGGAAGAGGATGCCCATAGAGTTCCTGCAGTCTCCACCCTTAAAGGTTTTCAAGAAAACTGGACAAATTCCTCAGCAACCAGATCTAATCTCATAGGTGACTGCTTAGAAAAAGATCAGAACACAGACATTAAGAGGTCCTTTCAAGCCTGAATTACCCTATGATCTTGTGTGTCAGTATCAAGTGTGATTCTGCTCTAGGTCATACAGTCTTCCCTGTCCATCATTTGGTAGGTGTTGTTCTCCTCCTAGAAGTTATTTATTGGTAATAATTGCAGTGCAATTTAGCAGCCTGAGGATATGATATGGCTATATTCTCTAGCATGCCTGAAAGATCTCCCCAAACTTGGTGACACACAGAAAATTAAATCAGTTCTTATATAAAGAATTTGTATGGGTGTCAAGAAATGTAACACACAAGTTTATTGTGTTGGATCGCTTTCTTCCTCAGTATAATTCTTGTTAGAATTCTGACTCTAAAAAGCATTAAGTTTAATTTTAATTTTTAGTGTTCTTGAATGTTTTTTTTTTCTTCTTTGACAGGTGAGAAGAAATTTGTCTGTCCAGAATGTTCAAAACGCTTTATGAGAAGTGACCATCTTGCCAAACACATTAAAACACATCAGAATAAAAAAGGTATTCACTCTAGCAGTACAGTGCTGGCATCAGTAGAAGCAACATCTGATGATACTTTGATTACTGCAGGAGGAACAACACTTATCCTTGCAAATATTCAACAAGGTTCTGTTTCAGGAATAGGAACTGTTAACACATCTGGCACCAGCAATCAGGATATTCTTACCAACACTGAAATACCTTTACAGCTTGTCACAGTTTCGGGAAACGAGACAATGGAGTAAATATTACACAAGATACCTATTAATTGTGGTTATTTTTATACAGTAGTGAGAAGAATATTGTTCCTAAGTTCTTAGATATCTTTTTATTGATGTGCAAAAATTTTTGGATTGACAGTAACTTGGTTATACATGACACTGAAATGCCTTACTTTGTATGATATTCCATAGTATATTAAAATGGTAAAATTGCATGGGTTTTGTAGGTACTTTTGGAATCTAGAAGAGAAGAAATTTTACCAAGTTATATTAAAAAAAAAAAAAAAAGAATTTAACGATGGAAATGGTAGTCTAACCAAATGCATCAATCCTGTGTGGTTTAGTGTAAAAAAAATGAGAACATGTTGGTATTTATCTATTGTAAGATAAAAGAAGTTGATGGGTGAAAAGAAATCACATTATGATAAAAGAAATTTTGTAATTTTCTTGATGACTGGAATTTTTATTATGCATAACTGACAAATCAAGTTTCCAAGCAAATGTTACATAGTGTAGGCTTTACTTAGCTCATCAACTTGTCATTTTGAAGCTAATTATTTTAATTAGGTTAACTATGTACAATATTTTAAGCATTACTCTTGTAAGATTTTGCAAACTACATTTTAACATGGAACTCTAGGGATAGTCACCTTTTAAATCCTATTGAAAAGCCATGTTTAAGATTTAATTTGCCAAAATGATGTCTTGTTAATATTCTTTCAATAACCAAGGTGGGCAATATAACCAATGTTTAAAAAGCTTAAAATGTTAAGAAAAATAAATATGTATAGGTTGAAGCATTTGGGTGGTAAGGCAGATGTTATAGTGAAGTATATCCCTTCTTTTGAACATTGGAGGACCAAAAATAAGGTGTATTGTGTCTCAGCAGTGATTTTTATCAAATCTTTTTCCAAAAAAACATCTGTATGCCAGGGCCTTAAAAGCCATCATGTAAATTACCAGTAAAATATAACATATGCAAATACAAAAGAAAAATCACTTCCATATTGACAGTACTCCCAAACATATGGATATAGTCATAGTGAACTAGGGGGGTTATGAGGTTTTTATTTGTTTGTTGTTTAGTTTTTGGTTAGTCAATCTGCATTTAAATATCAGCCATCTTTCCTTTTTTGCTTCTTCCCTTAAAAATTGTATGTATCCAGTACATTTAACTGATAAACATATATGTTTTTTATTATGCTGAATTTTCTTTTTATTTTTTAATTACTGTTTATATTTTCAATTATAGAAAATGTACAAAATGAAGTTATATAGCCAGTCTGTAAGTGCTATACCATTTTCAAAAAATGTACAACAATAATTACTGCAGTTCACCTATTTACAGACATTTGGAAATCTGTTCATTTGTTATTCTTAAAACCACCTCAAATTTAAAGGCTACCTTATTGTACGTTTAAAGTGTATTATAACAGTGTGGTAGTTAATAAAACACTATTTTTTTTTTCTTTTGACTTGAGTTTACTGTGCTTCTTGTTAACTAACAAGGTGTAAATTCATAATATGTCTTAATAGCCTGAGATGTTTTATTATTTTGCAGTAGGTGGTGGGAAGCAGAAACAGTGTTTTCTTTCCTTGTGGACACAGAGATGGTAATTTTCCACCTCCTTGCTCACAAACCCCCATCTCTATGTGCATGGACACAAATGTGCTATGTTGGTGTGGTGGTGATGTTTTGCTCTCATGCTGAACAGGGCATGAAGAATATATAGGCCCCATCCTATAGGTTGTGTATAAACCCTCTGACACATGCACAATACAGGGAGTATTAATAACGAGCTGTGACTAAATGAGAACCATGAGATTAAAGAGAGTAATGGTTGTATGTAATGCTCTAATGAAAGTGAAAAGCTTTTGTTTGTGAAGTCTAAAGTTTTGGAGTATCAAATGACAGAGGACAGACCAGGATAATTTAGGATGAACCAGGCAAAGTTCAGCCTAGAAAAATGGGAACTGGAAGTCATGTAGGAAAGATTTTCTGAATTTACAGTTAGGTGGAAAAAAAAAATTATGCAAATCTTTTAGAGATTCAGAGCAACAGGTACAGAGAAAAGGGAGTTAATTCACCATCAGTTTAATCGTCTGTTTAATAAAATGAAAGGATGAAATTGGGATGAGAGCAGCAGCTTGAGGGAAGACAGTTCTGCTTAGACTAAACAGTGTTCCATGGATGTTGTCAATATATTAGCATACTCTGAATCTGCTTCCTTTAGGCAGGTGAATGGGCTTGGTTTTCAAAAGCTGTTTTAGTATACAGAGCATATTAGTATATTTCTAATACTTAGGTTCTGTTTCTCATCTCTTAGCCATCAGTAGCTGTATCAGTGCATTATTTTAAGTGGGTGGGAATAGGGCTATTTATTTATTCAAACTGCTTTTCACAAGTTTTATGGAATGACACTTTCACTGATGTTCTTTTGTGGATGAAAGTGTTTTGGTGTCAAGGGTTTTGATGTCTCATTGCTGAAGATGAGATTGCTTTATTTCTCAGAGCTTTTATGCTCACTACATCAAGTGGTTACTTTAATTAGTGTTTAGGTGGCACATTTGATAAGAAGATTTGTTGTTAAGCTTCAGAAGGTGGATGTTTTGAAAGAAAGTAACTCTGGAAGTCTCATGGAAAGTCTGCAGCCTAAGGGCTGTCTGCTTAATGGCTCACAGCCATAGTGTTTGTGTTGTGGGACAGTAATTTCTGAAAGTTCCCTGCTCACCTCCAGGGTGAAGATTCACAGGCCAAAGATCTTCAGTGTATCTAGGATCGTTGCTACCTCATGGCCTCTTTTCTGGTCCTCCAGGCATTCATGATACCAAGACAAAAGTGTGTATTGTGTAGAATGCTTTCCAGTTCTTCATAGGTTCCTGACAATGGTTATTTGATGTGCTTCTTGCTTCTTACTGGTACAGTCTGTACATTTTACATACGTATTTTCATGTCAGGCTTCTGGCTTGTATGGTTTCTTGGTAGCCTTTAGATCCTTGGTTGGTTTTTATCTCTTACAGTCTTGTGTAATCACTAATTAAGAAGACCTTAAAACTGGGTCTGCAAGAGAGCATGCATTTGAGAGCATCCTGTGTTACCAATTTGTGGTTCAGCTTTCAGTAAGTACAAGGCTTGCACATACACTTGCTATAATATCAGAATTCTGTTAGTTCATGAGTGATTTGGGTTCGTTCCTAATGATTTGATCCTTGCAGGTTGCAAACTGACACTGATTCTTGCAGAGAACAGAGCTTTTAATCATTGTTACTTTCCAGGTCAAGGAGTAATATGACTAAGGACAATATCATCATCACTGAAAGACTTGTGAGGAGTCAGATTTCTGGTGTCATGATGCAGATTTTCCTCTAGCAAGGGACTCTGTAGAGCACTTTTTTGGGCTTTTCTTAAAAAGAAATAATCAGGCCTTGGTTTTAGGCATTTTGAGCAGCTGGAATCAGTATTGCCAATGGCTTCAGGAGAGCTCTGATAGATTCTTTCACAAGTTGTTCTGGGTGTTGGGGAATGAAGGAATGGAGCTAATAGACACCTATCAAGAGTGGTTCTTGGCTTCTTTAAGTGAAGAACTAATGAGCAGCTGGCTTTCCTCCAGATTTTTACTACTACCATTAACACCAGGTATGTAGAGCATGTACTGTAAAAAAGGGCAGAAGGTGACGTGGCTGACTTAACTAGACAGGAATAGTAGCCGATTTCCAACAGTGGGCTACTAGTGGTTGGCATCAGGTTGTTCTGTGCTCTAGTTTCTAAAGGATTGTATCAAAAGGAAGCATTTTTTACAAGTCATTTTACATACAATTCCTTCTTTCATCTTGGAGCTAAGGAAAAAAAAAGCCTTTTCTGACTCAAAACAGAGCCTCTGTAATTCCAGAGCTCACTTTGGCATCTTGACACTGTAGAAGCCTCTGTTTGGACAAATTGGTACCCTTCTCAGACCTTATTACTGCTGAGTTGGCAGAAGAATGCTATGAAAATTACCTGTAAGAAATAACTTTCCTTCCCCAGCTATGAATTCTCTTCTGTCAGAAGACTCAGTTACACAGATTTTGAGCTCAGTGTGAGATGTACGCCACTAGGAAAAGGTTCCAAAGCAAGATTTAGAACTATTTGTTGCTTGAGCACCACTTTTCTTACGGACTCCAAAAGTTCAAATCTTGACCGTGCTCCTGGCATGCCTGCAGATAACAAAATTTACTTCTGTATATATCTTGTAACATAGCTGCATTTTCCACAAAACTCGTTGAAGAACAGTATCTTTACAAGGCTTATAGGCTGACAGATCACCATAGCAAATAATTTTCAACAAGAATTAGTTGATAAGTGGTATCACATTATCCAACACACCTTTCTCTGTAGAGCTCTTTCAGGTAAGAATCTTGGTGGCCCCTGACAAGAAAAGAACCATGAGAGAGATGGGTTGAGTTGGGTACCGGGCATGGACAAAATATCACCAAAATTTTACATGGTGAGAAGGAGTCCCTGACTTTCACATATGCTGGGTAACCCACATACCCACATTCTTAAGGTCTTCCTCCTGCTTCTATGGAACCTACCCCTCTAAGTAAGGTATTCACAGAATTTTATTTATTATTTATGCACAAACACCACAAATGGCTACTTGATCACAGTTACTTCCTAACTGGATCTTTTTCTTCCATCAGGACATGTTTTGATTTGACAAACACTGGAGAATCTAACAGTCTACTCCATTATGTTGCTATCTGAAGAAAAGACATCAGGTTTACAGGGAAAATCAGTGGGATTCTGTGCCTGTGATAACCCTGTGGTGGAGACTCATGATGATGTTAGATGAGACTGTTGTACATTTACTCTGTAAATGGATTTTTGATGTCTGTCCTCTGTCTAGGCCACTGCATAAATCAGCATCAGTACATTGAGAAAGTAGTAGAGTACAAAAAGATCTTATTGCTTCTGCCATTGTGGTTTTGGAGACTTTTCTTTCGTTCTGTCAGCCATTCTTCACTCTAGAAGAAGGTACTAGATTCTGATTCTGATTCTGGTAGTATAAATGGTACTGCTGGAAGGTTTAGTGGTGAACATGATGACTCCTGAAAGGGTAGTAGCCATGTCTTATATTGTTAGCTTGGCTGCAACCTGCAATGGGACCTTCTGTTCTTCTGAGCTCTTGCTAATTCTGATCATACTCTGCCTGTTTCAGAGGTGTTGAGCACAAGATAATCTGGCACACCTGTATCCCTTAGTATGTAAACATGGGCTCCCTGTTGGCACCTCAGCTATAGCCTTGCATAAAGAAACGTGTAATATTCAAGTGTGGTTGAAACAGACAGACAGAGGGCTGTATGGCAGCACTTTGCCATACTTTTCAAGAGCAGTGGGGGGGAGGTGATAAGAACACCTGGAAGAGGTACGTGACCTGGTGAAAAGCAGCTTGTACCAGACATCGAACAAGCAGGTAAGAGAGGAGTGCACTTGTGGGCTGGTAGGAAGACTTGTGAACATGAGGACAAAGTGAGGATGGTGGGAAAGAGGTAGGAACAGATGGGTTGGACTTAGAGTAGGGTTGCAGAACACTGTGGAGACACACAATAGTAGGAGTTAATAAAGTTTATGGATGCTAATCCCTGGTGTTCCAGTGAAACCTTCTGGAGTATTGGTTCCAGACAAGTGTGACTGCAGCCATTTGGTGTGGGGGGGGCTGTTGATGAGTCAGACAAGATGCAATAAAGCAAGGAAAGGGGACTCAAAAAATAAGTTGAGAGCTGCATAAGGCTTTTTGGCATTCATGATGCTTTCATAGCAGTCCTTGCTGCCTTTTGGTTCTTTAGTTACCTGTGCACCTCTCTATCTTGTGATTTTCCTGCTAGGTTGTATTTACCATAATCCCAGCAGAAGCCTACATGCTAGGCTGAGATTTGCCATAATATGCACTATTGCTTGAGGACTAATGAAACTTGTATCTGGAAATGTACACTACTATAAGCGATTTATGATGGAGAAAAACAGATATGCATTGAAGCTTGAACTGTGCTGCTTGAGCCATGTTTTGGCTGAATCCTTTTGTTTGAAGTACAAGGGTATTGTGTCTATCTTAGGAACTAAGTATGGCTTGGTCCTGCGGCAGCGTCAGGCTTGCTTGCATCTTCACTTCTGCATCTCTTTTGCACACTGGTTTTATTTACTGCCTGAGGAAAAGGTTACTCCTCAGTTGCCCAGCCCCACAGGCCTTGTTTCACTGCTGTGGTGAGGGCTGGTCTCCGGCCTCAGGCAGCTGCCCTGTGACAGTGCAGGCCCCACAGCACGCTGCTGGTGGGCGTGGGGCCCTCAGACCCCAAATCTGCACAGCCCCACAGACCCCAAATCTGCACATCCCCACAGACCTCCCCTGCACAGCCCCAGAGACCCCAAATCTGCACAGCCCCACAGACCTCCCCTGCACAGCCCCACAGACCCCAAATCTGCACATCCCCACAGACC